CTCCTGAATAGCTAGGATTACAGTCATGAGCCACCAAAGCCTTGACCATGTTTGCATTTTTTAAAGTGCTCTTCTGAATCTTGAGCCCTCACCTGTCTAACCACATGATTCTGGTCATTACGGCCATTGGCTTCTCTCTGATGAGGTTGGGACCTGTTGACTTTTTTTTCTTTGTTTTTTGGTCTGTCATGGGGCTTGAACTCTGGGCTTGGGCGCTGTCCCTGCACTCTTCAGCTCAAGGTGAGTACTCTATCGCTTGAGCCACAGCGCCACTTCCGGTTTTCTAGTGGTTTATTGGAGATAAGAGTCTCACGGACTTTCCTGCCCGGGCTGGCTTTGAACCATGATCCTCAGATAAGTAGCTAGGATTACAGGTGTGAGCCACCAGCGCCCGGCGGGACCTGATGACTTTTGAGAAAGTAATCAAATGTAATTTGTATTCTAGGTTTCCTGGGACCCGGAATTCCCCACATCATCTCCTCCAAACTGCTAAAGCAGTTCACCTGCTTGTCTTATAACAATGGCAGGTCAGGAGGCCGAGGCAGGGGTGGGTGGGGGGTGTTGCCTGTGAAGGAGAAAGAAAGCAAGTGAGGGCTGGGTTCAGGTTCAGTTCCACATCCACAGAGATGCAGTGTAGCGATCACTACTATTTAATGGCCTTCTGCTGTCTAGTCTACTGTCCCCTTTGAAAAGCTCACTTTCTCTTCAGGTCAGGGAAGCCTGGTACTTACTTCCTATACTTCTGAGGGGCCATTCTTGATGCCCCACAGAACTAGTGCTCTATAGAAAGGCAGTGTGCAGTGAAGGGCCTGCCAGTGTGGTGACTTGGGGAAGACCCTTTGTTTCCTGCTTCTGGGTGTACTTGAAAGCAGCAGCGCTGAGTTTGGGCTGACTTGTTTCTTCCACCTCTGCTGAGCAGACAGACACAAATTCACCAGTGTGACATTACAACATCACCTAGGGAAAGTGGACACAGCTTTCTCCCTCCCACTGTGGGGAAATGCTGGCTTGATTTTTTTTTTTGTGTGCGTGTCAGTTGTGGGGCTTGAACTCAGGGCCTGGGCATTCTCCTTGAGCCTCTTTGTGCTCAAAGCTAGCGCTCTGCCACTTGAGTCACAGTGCTACTTCCTAGCTTGCCTTCCTTGGGACTAAGGCCATAGAAGGAAAACAGGACATGTTGCTTGGGAAGATGTTAAACACAGTGGAAGCAGGCTTATTTTGCATGGTCCTATTTTGCTTTTGTAACATAATTTTCTTTGTATTGCCCCTGCCTGGTTTTGCAGTTTACAGAATTTAATCTCAAATTCCATGAAGGCGAAGATCACTGCATATGTTATCATTCTTGCCTTGCACATAAACAACTTCCAGATTGACCTGACAGTGTTACAGAGGGACTTAAGGCTCAACAAGAAAAGGTGAGCTCAGCAGAGTGTATTGTTGGCACCACTGGTAGGGACTGGGAATAGTGCGGTGGGGTCATATGGGAAAAACTTGAGACAAAGGACAATTTGCTATGTATGTATGAATGAATGAGTGGCTAGACATTTTGAGTCTTTCTGTATAGCACAGCACTAGTCACTCATCTCATTGATTTCTCTGTTCCAAAAAGTAATGTCCTTCCCAAGTCTCACAAACACAGGAGAGTCAGGCTTCAATCAGCCTTTGCAGAGTATTCTGTTCTTGAATAACTGAGACCCTCCTGATCTCTGAATTGTCACTGTGGAAGGGGATTCTCTGTGGTTCTCGAAGTATACCTAGGAGTGCAAGTGAGCCCACCTTTGGCTTAAGCCAGCAGAGCTCTCTCAGAGAGAAGGGACTTGAGGTGTTCAAGGCAGGGTAGAACTGATTGTCAAGGACACATTTGAACTTCACCGATGAGATGAGAAGAGCTGGAGAGGTGACCTGTCAGGGGGAAATTCAGAGAGTAACTGAGGGGTATCCGACACCCAAAGTCATAGATTGTGTTCCAAAAGAGCCAGGATAACACTTCTGTGTGTAGTCCCACTGTTCTCAGTGGGGCTGTTCCAGGGCCTGGCAGTGAGGTGGAAAACCCAAGTGAACAGCCACCAGCCAGTCATACTCTAGCAAGAACTGAATCCTTGTTAGTTTTATCATGTGGTTATAGATGGTAAAGATAGTTACTACTAGAAATCTCGAGAACCTGGTTTTCTGTCACTGCATGGATAGTTCCCAACATCAGCACATTTACATGAAATTGTTGAATGCCCTAGGGGAGGGGGTGCACAGGGCCATCTTGTATGTCCCTTTACAGAGGCTTTGCTCTGGCTGGCCACTTGCGGGATTCTGGTTTCATAACCTGGAGCACAAATGTATGGCCCTCCTGCCAAGCCACAGCACACTGAGGAGTCCCTCTCTACATTCGTTCTGTTTTTTCCTTAGGATGATTGAGATAGCAAAAGCCATGAGGCTGAAGATCTCCAAAAGCAAGTTACCTCTGGCAGACAGCATGGAGGAGCAGCATAGACTGGGTACTCTGTCCATCCCACTGCCTCCAGCCTATTTTTTGGAACACCAGTCAAAGAGGAAGAAAGTTATCTAGATGGGTACTTTCTCGGTGAAGCATTTGACCACCTTATAGCCGCTTAGCTCATTTCGATTTTTATTTTGTGCTGGTGCTGAGGACTCAGGGCCTAAGTGCTCTTCCTGAGCTTTTTGTTCAAGGCTAGCACTCTACCACTTCAGCCTCCACCACACTTCTGGCATTTTGGTGGTTAATTGGAGATGAGTCTCACAGACGTTCTTGCTTGGGCTGGCTTGCTTTGAATCTTCAAATCTCACTAGGATTACAGGCATGAGCCACTGGCACTGGGCTCCTTCTATTTTTATATTTTTTTTAGTACTGGGGTTCTAATGCAGTGTTTCGTGCTCCTTGCAAGCACTCTACTATTTGAACTAGCCTCTAGCCCTTTTTTGTTAAGATAGAGTCTCATGCTTTTTGCTGAGGGGTGGCCACGCCACGGACTGTGGTTCCCCTGTGTGTGCTTACCATGTAGCTGGGTTTGTCAAATACTATACCCAGCTTGTTTGTTTGACATAGTGTCTTGTTTTTTGTCTAAGCCAGTCTCAAACCTTAGTCCTCCCCTGGTGAGATTATAGTAGCTAGATTACAGATATATATCACCATGCATTGCTCCCATTCCACTTAAATATATATATTTTTTGTCGGTCATGGGGCTTGAACTCTGGGCCTGGGCGCTGTCCCTCAGCTCTTCAGCTCAAGGCAAGCGCTCTACCGCTTGAGCCACAGTGCCACTTCCGGTTTTCTAGTGGTTTATTGGAGATAAGAGTCTCACAGACTTTCCTGCCCGGGCTGGCTTTGAACCGAGATCCTCAGATCTCAGCCTCCTGAATAGCTAGGATTACAGGCGTGAGCCATCGGCGCCTGGCTCCACTTAAATTTTTAAAGGGGAAAAAGGACAGGCATGGTGATGGGTGCCTGTAATCCTGATGTGTGGAAGAGTTAAGGCAGGAGAATCATAAGTTTGAGACCAGCCTGAGATGTATAATAAAACTATCTCAAAAAGAAAAAAAAGCCTAGCTTTGACATGGATATCAAGCCAGATGTCAGCACTCCAGACACACCTCCGTATGCAGAAGTATAAAGTGATGTTCAGATTGGACTTTATCTCCCTCCTTTGGTATTGACACAATTGTGAATGGCAGTTCTCACATTGGCTCATGTGTGGAGATTTGAAAGATGGGGTCTGCGGAGCTCAAGACAAAAGGTCCCCCAAGCTGATATCTAAATGAAACCTAACAGATGAAGGTTTATAAAGAAAATAGTATGTGGTGAAGCTTTATCATAGCAAGGTAGCTTCCAGCTTTACAAGGAGCTGTGGATTGCCATTTAACTGGCGTTGCCAAATAGCCAATGTTCTAGTCTGCTGTAATGAAGTGGTGCTAGATCAGGCAGTGATCATCCCAGTTTTTCTATCTGGCTGAGGCCACAGAAAAGGGTAGAGATCAGCCAAGTGGAGAGGACCAGAGACGAATACAGTGTGGAAAGCATTGATCTTACCCAGTGTCTTCACCTGCTATTTGGATACAAGCCTTGCCAGAATGACTTGACAATGAAATGTCTCATTCCTGAAGGCAGCTGTGAATAATGGCTTGTTCCTGATTGATTCTGTGAGCCAAGCATTTAATGCATATGTATCCTGGCAGCACATCTTGGTTCAAAACATCACAGAAGCCAGGCATTGGTGGCTTATGCCTATAATCCTAGCTACTCAGGAGGCTGAGATCTAAGGATCGCAGTTCAAAGCAAGCCCAGGCAAGAAAGTTCATGAGACTCTAATCTCCAGTTAACCACCAGAAAATGGAAAGTGGCACTGTGGCTCAAAGAAGAATGCTAGCCTTGAGTGAAAGAGCTCAGAGACAGAGCCCAAGCTCCAAGCCCCACAACCAAAAAAAAAGTACTTTTGCTGGGTGCTGGTAGCTTGGTAATAAGCAGTAGTCCTAATTCTGGAGATTTGGAGGATTATGGTTCAAAGCTAACCTGGGCAGAAAAAACAAAACCAGTAAAAAGCTAAGTTGGAGACATGGCTCAAATGGTAGAACACCAGCTGAGCAAGCAGTGCAAGTAAGTACAAGGCCATTTTAAATTCTAGTACTGGAAAAAAAATAGATACATAGTGGACAATATAACTCCAGACATGATGTGGAAGATATAGAAGAAATTTGGAATAGGCCCAGAAGACTCTTGCCCAGATGAAAGGGTCAAAGGAAGGCAAGCGTCCTCGGCTCAGGAGCAGGCTGCAGAGAGCTAAACCAATTTTCTATGAAGATTTCTTCAGAGACAGCTTACTGACGGGAATGTGGCTTATGTAGAGTGCTCATGAAAGCTGGGTCTGATCTGCAGCATTGTAGAAAAAACAAAACCCAACAAAGTAAACCTGCCCCCACACACACCAAAAAAAAATGGTATTAACTACTAGCTTCTCCAAGACACTATAGATTAGCAAAAGCTATAAGCCACTGAGTAACTAGTTGGGAAGATGTGTTGATACGCTGAGGAGGAACTGTTACTGCTGGTCGTCACAGAGATGGGACAGGGAGGACTGGAGTGACACACACACTAAGCCTCTGAGAGATGTAACCCATGTCATGAGTTAGAGCCAGGCTTGACAAGAGGCCCCTGGGATTTTCCCGCCCCTTACAGAGGTTCCAGTAGCCAGGCCCCTGCATCTGATCAGGAAATGCCCAGACCAAAAAAAGACACCCATTAAAAGTACCTTTTTTAAAAATAAAGAATATAGAACTTTATTTTGGTTATTGAGATGTTCATAAGTACCTGGTTCACAGAAAAGTCATTTTTTACAAAATAACAAAGGCAGCATTTTATACAGCGACTCACATTGGGGCCACCAAGTGCAAAGGACAGTGCTGGGGATGGAGGGACCAGTGCTCGTGTCCAGAGTCTTCAGGGAGAAGCCAGTGTTCCCGGTTCCTGCGCTCCCACCCACCCAACAGAGCAGCACCGAGGGCCTGGCAGAACCAGCCTGGGAAGCCATCAGGACCAGGATAGGACAGTGACCCCAACAGGCTGAGGAAGGCCCTGCATTAAAGGCTGAGCAGGAGGGAGATGATTGAGGCAGGGCTGGCCCTGCATCCAGCCCCCTTAGGCAGTAGGGTCCAAGCCCAGACTGCTTCTGGAACATTCACAGTACAGGTTAGTAAAGCCCTTTGGGAGCTGGCTGCCTCACTCAGGCCACTAACCTTAGCTCTGGGCTGGGACTTTGGGACACAGTCAGATATGGCCCTACCTTCAGAGTTCACAGGCAAGTGGGTGGGGCTGGGTATGGACCCGAATAGTTTTGAAACAAGGCAGAAAGTGCTCAGTGCCCTGAGGGAACAGAGGAAGGGCTGCTGAGGTTCAGAGGAGGAGACATGGCCCTTGGGAGCAAGGGGGAGAACCAGGTAGAGATGGCAGTGTCTGAGCTATCACCTGCACACCAGGAGATGGCAGGGAAGGGCATGCCGGGATGGGGTAAGCTGAGCCAAGGCACAGAATAGGCAACATGATGGGGTGAGTAAAGGCAGGTGGTCACCCATAAGGATGTGGACAGCTGAAGACCCAGGCACCTCCATCTGGACAAACGAGCCAGGAGGGACAGCTGCTGTGTGTGCTCACAGGGGACCCTGTGGCAAACATGGAGCTAATGTCCCGAGCGTCTTGCATTCCAAGCTAGCACCTGTCTACATACCTGAAGAAAGCCATCTTGTCACCTGCCAGTTTGTAGCACGTTCCCATGTCATCCCTGGGCAGCCTTTTAAGAGGGACTCCTCTTCCACTCACAAAGCTATGTCCAAGTCTATATCGTTCAGTGAACCAAATGCAGCCATGGCTTCCAGAGGCAGTTAGAGGCTGTGCAACCCCGGGAGGGAACCAAAGAGGGTTGGGTCCAGAATCTGAAGTCCACCTGTGTTTCCCTGGTTTCGTGTGTATAAAGCAAGGTTTCCTGTAACTGAAGAATCCTGACCTCAATAAAAGCTTCAGGGTGCTTCCCCAACTCTTCATAATCTCTAAATGCTGGCGTGATGGGAAACCTCTAATTTCCGTTCCTTTTTCTCCTTGGAAAGTGCTTCCAAGTTCATTCCTGCTGAGGCTGGTTGATCTGAAGGGTCTAGAGATACGTTGGCCTGGGACCTGCTTTTCCAGGGGGGCGGTGATTAAGAGGGGAGGGCCTACAAGTCTTCTCAGGCACTACTTCCAGTCTGAGGGCCTTCGTTGGGTCTCCAACCCTACAGGATGGTGCAGAAGATGCTACGGTTGCTGTGGTATCCACCTTCCACACGGGCTGTGATCCTGGTTGCCATGGCTGCCACCTTCTGCCCACCGTGGGCTGCAGAAGGGCCCCTGAGAGAGTTTTCAAGATGAGGCCGTGCTGGGGGGTTCACCAGGCGCCATGTATCAGACCTGCAGGTGCAAGGAGGAGGCTGTAAAATTGGAGATCAAGAGCACCTGAGTTCCCCGCAATCATCTTTGCCTCATACTCACTGGGTCCTAGGGTTCCAATCTAGGTGGCTTTGTCTCCCCGGGTCGTGACAGCCCAGAGAGCTGAGGTGTGAGAAACTTAGAAACTGCCTAAATGCCCAGTTGATGAATGGGTAAACTGCCCTCCTCTATACATAAAAACTACTCAACAATAGAAGGGAATTTAGAATTTCCCTTTAGTTGGTGTGTGTGTGTGGATGTGTCTACCGCGCTCTCCAGTGCTAAGGACTACCTGGGAGCTGTTCCTGATCTTTTCTGCTCAAGGCTAGTGTTCTTATCACTTGAGACAGCTCCACTTCCAGTTTCTTGGTAGTTAATGGGAGATAAGAGTCTCTTGGACTGTCCTGCCCAGGCTGGCTTCAAACTGATCCTCAGATCTCAGCCTTCTGCATAGCTAGGATTACAGGCACAGGCTACTAGCACCCAGCTCCATTTAGTTTTTAATATTTTTAAATTCCTATTTTGAGGACAGTTTATAATGTAAATGGTACACCAGGAGAATACTACAAATAACTTAAGGAATAATAGAACATACCTATATGAGGGACTTTCTCTAAACCTATCTACATGAGTATGTAATACAGTGTGACAATCATTACTAGAAAATGGGATCCAGGACTGGTATGTGGCTCAAGTGTTGGAACACTTGCATAGCAAGTATAAGGC